GTTTATTGTCCTTAATTACGCGCGCTTTTTGCACTCGCTCGGAAGCACCCCCATTATTTGTGAATCACTAAAATTTTTTGCTAAAAGCTTAATTACCGATGAATGAGATGTGTAACAATAGAGTCACGATTACAAAATACCTCGTTACGCATTATCATCTTTTTTTTGTACGCCGATTTATTATTGCCATTACACGGTATTGGGTATGCACGAAAAGATCGTAATTTTAAATGATTGCTATCGAGATCGTAAACAGAGATAAATGGCGGATAAATGAATAATCTGTATGATTTTACGTTTTTTTAATGGCATTAATCTTTAAATATCAGTCGCGCAGCGTTGATTTCATTACTCCAAGGAGGAGGAATTATTAATTTATAACTGTATTTTACGGATCTTGAAAGGTGAATTTATAGTGTTGAACAGTAATGGGTACGTGTTATGCGTCCACTGCATTAAATGTTCATAATTTATATTCTTACAATTCAGTCTATGTAATTACGTTCATTACTAATCTTGGTATCATCTTGCGTAATAGGATTAATGAGATTCTTCAAAATTTCGGAAACAATAAAACTACCATAGTTTATATATAGTTCAGTCAATTTCTACTTTATGGTTACATATAGGTCCGGTAGAAGATTTTATTTTTCCGACTTGTTTAAATAGTAAAGAGAGAGAAAATCCAGGTTTGCCAATGGAATTTTTGTGGTCAAAAATCTGCAAAAATTTCTGACTTTTTTCGATTTTTCTAAACTAACTCGCCAACTGTCTGATCTATATAACATATTAATACAAAATAATGTAATAGTAGTACGTAGCTACAGAACTTTAATGATTTAACACAATGAAAATGTGCAGCTGAAAGTCTTTTGTTTATAATCTAGACGTTAATGATAACCAATTAACCTCTGCCCTGAATATTAATAAAATACCATAAGTGTAAAGTAAATAAAAAACTTGGTGCTTTGTTTTAAGGCAATCCACCCATTTCACAGTCGGATGAGGAGCAACAACTCTGTTCCTCAATTAATAAGTGCAAATAAAGCGTATTTGTCCAACATCCCATTGGTGAAGAAATGTTCACAACCAAAGCTCCTCTAGCACCTCTTTTAGTTTTTCTATAATGTCACGATACACCAAAACTACCAAGGTTAGAAAGTAAAGTGTAATTACTAACTACACATTTTAAGTTGGGATAAGACTATCGGTATCCAACTTTACCCCTCTAAATACAAAGCACATATTCGTTTATTTCAGAAAGCGCATTTTACATGCGTACTGCCTATGTTGTCTGAAATCATGAAAAAGATTGAAAATACTTTAAAATTCTCCTCTTGAAATAAGTTTTGCCGTTTTCCCGACAGTAGTAAAGACCCTGCCATCCCCTGCACTTTTTTATGACGTTGCACGTGCTGTGCTGTGATTGGCTGCGCCTAGGGCTGCGTCATTTTGTGGCGGTAAATTTGAATTTGTGTGAGAAATTTGAAATTTTTGATTGGCTGGGTGAGCTGGGTCATTGTAAATATTCAGGGTGTAATGATATTTATATACCGGTGTCAATAGGTCGTTAACGGGGTGGCCATTTTGTTCCGATGACCATTTGCGAGCGGTAAATTTGAAATTTGCCTTATCCGCTCTCTTACCGCTAATGTACTTTGTCAAAAGTAATAATTAAATGATGTAAAGTTTCTAAATTGTTTTTAGCGCATTTTTGCAAAAAATTTTTTTTGTAAAAAGTAGCTTTTAATCTCACTGGCTGGCTGGCTGGCTGGCTGGCAGCAAATGTGGGCGCGTAGAAGAACTCTTGTAGAAAGGCAACGGGTGTACGTGTATCTACAGGGCCGTGAAATTTGTCAACCTTAGGGACATGGCTACATGATGTGGGGTTGGCGACATCTGGGCGTCATCCTCGAGCGTAGTATACTAACGTGAAGGTTTTTCAGTTTTTTCCTATCTTCTACTACAGTTTTGGTCCGATTCTTTTGAAATTGGTGTCGTCGGAAAGATGTTGTAAACGCGCACAACTCCTGCGTGGCGGAATTTTGTTTTTTGTCATAGGGGCGAAATTAACGACCTTTTGCGAGGCGGCGCGCGCGTCTTCGAGAAGTAGTCAGGCGCCTTTTACCTTCCGTTGCGAACTCACGCGGTTTAACGTTTCGTGAATCTCGAATCGCTGTCTCTCTTTCTCGTGTCGCCAATAGAAGTGAATTGCGAGTGAACGGGACGTCGGAAGTGGGTACCGTAAAAGAGAATGTGGTAGCCCGCGACACGATCTCACTGATGGTGGAGTCAAATCTTCAAACGCGAATTGCGGGTGAACGGGACGTCGGAAGGGGGTACCGTCAAGGGAATGTGGTAGCCCCCGACACGATCTTCCTGATGGTGGAGTCAAATCTTCAAACGCGAATTGCGGGTGAACGGGACGTCGGAAGTGGGTACCGTAAAAGGAAATGTGGTAGCCCGCGACACGATCTCACTGATGGTGGAGTCAAATCTTCAATCGCGAATTGCGGGTGAACGGGACGTCGGAAGGGGGTACCGTCAAAGGAAATGTGGTAGCCCCCGACACGATCTTCCTGATGGTGGAGTCAAATCTTCAAACGCGAATTGCGGGTGAACGGGACGTCGGAAGGGGGTACCGTCAAAGGAAATGTGGTAGCCCCCGACACGATTTTCCTGATGGTGGAGTCAAATCTTCAAACGCGAATTGCTGGTGAACGGGACGTCGGAAGGAGGTACCGTCAAAGGGAATGTGGTAGCCCCCGACACGATCTTCCTGATGGTGGAGTCAAATCTTCAAACGCGAATTGCGGGTGAACGGGACGTCGGAAGTGGGTACCGTAAAAGGGAATGTGGTAGCCCGCGACACGATCTCACTGATGGGGGAGTCAAATCTTCAATCGCGAATTGCGGGTGAACGGGACGTCGGAAGGGGGTACCGTCAAAGGAAATGTGGTAGCCCCCGACACGATCTTCCTGATGGTTAAAAGCGAATTGCGGGTGCACGAGGAAAGTGGGAAGCGGTTAGTGAATGTAGTAGCCTTCGACAAGATCTGTTATTGATGGTTGAGTCGAAAGTGGCTAATAGAATACTGATCTGCCACACAAAAATGCGCTGAAGTCCCTTCGATCTCAAACGAGGACTTTGATAATTTTTTTTGTATAGTGACACAAAATTTTAGTCGTAATAAAACTCAATACAGTAGGTAGTTTTTTCCGATCCATATAAAAATATGTAGTTGATGAAGGTTTCTCAAAGACGAAACGTCACAGTGAAAATCTGGGGGTACCATCTTGTAGAGCTTAAAAAGTTCCTATAAGGAGGCGTTGATTGTTTTTAATATCTTTCCAAACAAGGCCAGAAATAAATAAAAACGAATATGGTTAATTCCGTTTTTTTCGAATATCTTAGGAACTGATCGGAATTTCCTAGTGTTTGAAACTTTATTTTACTAAGCCCTACAGTACGCACATTTTTTTAAAAATTTAACCGAATGTGTATCTCTTATGGTTTCCGATTTCCTTATACTGTATATTCTTATCTTCGACACACTGTATACACAGCGCTTTCATGATTAAAGGAACAGATTCATTTACTGGTGGACACTTCTATTAGTTTTTTTTTTGTAGGTGGGGATTTTCAATAGGAAGTATGATGTCGCAATTAATTTTTTGAATGCAACACTGTATATTATGGTAATTTAATGCAAAAACAGCTCAAACCATAATACTCCTCGGCGTGTTCTAAGACATTTGTGAACTGGAATTGTAAATGAATTTGTTTCTTTCATTACCAAAGCACTGCAGAATCCCTCGCAGAATCCTCGGCAGAATCAATACGCAAGAAATAGATGTCATGGGTGAATGAAGTAACACTCCTCTACACTCTTTACCACCTCATTTTATAAAGGGTTTCCATTCGAAGAAATATTACTTGGTATAACCGAACTTTGTCGATTTTGAATTTATCTTTTTCTGATGTTATTTATTGTTATAGTTTTTTTGTGTATCTGCAATCTGCTATCTCTTCAGCACTTTTGCTAGTAGTACTGATTCACACAAATCCAATTTTGGTATCGTTGGCTTGGTGATTAACTGAACTGGTGATTAATATCGAGACTTGCACCTCAATATTATTTAGTGTAAACAGGGGTGGTACACAGTCTCATGCACCAAGTTTCTAGACTTAGAAGCCCTCCAGGAAAACCAAGATATGTATTTCGAAAACTATCAGAAATAGGTATCAAACATTTTTACCAAAAGTTGAAGATTTTTGAAGGAAGGAGAAGATGACAGGTTCCATTTAACAAATTGCGATTTTTCAATTTTTTTATATGAAGTTTTGTAACTTTGGACCTACAAGGAAAACACCCTGTAAATTTATGTTTAATTGTATGAGGTAATATTTATATATTAACCATAAGTATAATAAAAAAAGTCGTGCAATTACACGTAAAATTTTAAAAAATGCATTTAAATATAAGGGATTCCATTACAAAAAATTTTACACACGTAAAATTTTAAAAAATGCATTTAAATATAAGGGATTCCATTACAAAAAATTTTACGTTTTTAGCGTTCTACTTTGTCAACTCCCCCTGTATAATTCAAAATATTTTTCAATGTGGAGAATATTTAACCATTTAACGATTTCTCTATCGAAAAATCTTATCTTCAAGCATTAAGTTACTCCGCGCAATCGTTGACTCACCCTGTACTATGATCTTCAAAGAAGAAAATCTCTGCCTAGTAGGTACCAGAATTGTAATAATAATTTTGTTAATCTAAGATTTTATCGGCGAGTGTTGCAAGCGTGGCATTTTTAATTAGAAAAATACCTCTTGATTTTCGTAAAAGGGAGCGGGGGGGGGGCTGCACATAAAAATATTGCAGATGACCCCAATGGTAAGCCACATATAAAACAGATCGAATTAGGCATGACTCATGCGGAGAACAATCTAGCTAGAACCATTGCGTTCCCGGCTTAATGCGCCACAATGGCACCGCCATGTTAGAATAAAATACAATTCTTACAGAACTGAAATACTTTGTCGGATTAGTAAAGATGATTTCGTGATGTTTGCTCCAATTATAATGTGTTACATTAATTTTCAGGCTTCACCGGCACTCAATGCGAGATAGACATTGACGAATGTAAAGATAGGCCATGCTTAAACGGAGGTACCTGCCACGATCTCATCAACTCTTTCAAATGTACGTGTGCTATCGGATTTGCTGGTGCTCGCTGCCAAGTGAACATAGACGATTGCATTTCGAACCCATGTCGCAACGGTGGCATTTGTCACGATTCTATTGCCGGATATACCTGCGAATGTCCTCCCGGTTTTACAGGTCTGTATTCATCATCTCATTCACCATGTACTAATTGTTGTTTAGGCGCATCATGCGAAATAAATATCAACGACTGTGCATCATCTCCTTGTCACCATGGGGAATGTCTCGATGGCGAAAACACCTTTACTTGCACCTGTCATCCGGGATATACGGGATTTTTGTGTCAATCTCAGATCAATGAGTGCGAGTCGAATCCATGTCAGTTTGGAGGAATCTGCCAAGATTTAGTCAACGGTTATCAATGTCTTTGCAAAGCCGGAACTTCGGGCCTAAATTGCGAAATTAACGTTAATGAGTGTTACAGCAATCCTTGTAGAAACAATGCGCGATGCATCGATGGGATCAACAGGTAATTTTAGTGTTTGCTTTATTTGCTAATAAAATACTTCAAAAAGGTTACCTTAACATGATTGATACGACACGTCATTAAGAACTGTGTTGGCCTTTTATTATGTAACTCTTCAATTTTGGTATTAATGAGTATTTGTGATTGATGGCTTTGTACAGACATGCTAATGATCCGAACTTATTAATCCACTTTCCTTCAGAAGTGAATTAAAAAGGTTATGAAGATCAGTAATGAATTTTTAATATGACACCATATTCTAATTCTCAATCTACTTCTTGTCAGTTTAATCACATTGTGCATAGATACAGAAAAAAATTAAATTAAAGATAATAATTAGAGAAACGGAGCACATCAACAGTAAAAAATTGCCTATGACTATTATAGTTACAGTTCCTGGTTTGTTATGTGTCTACATGAGTCTGGCAGAAGATTGTAGAGAATCGCTAAACCTTTTTGTTCGAAATACAATGCAGTTTCTATGAGTCTTATTTCTGAGTTTTGGGTAATCCAGTTTTTGAGTGTCTGAATTGGAGTGATTTAAGTTGGAGGGTTGGTTTTACCTGAAACTCATTTTCGAATGTCGTTTATTATTGCTACTAAACATGCTATTTGCCTTATTTTTCATGCTTACAGAAACAAAGTCGTTCTTGCGTAAGTTCCTTTAATCATTGTTAATTGTTATTATGTTAGAAGTGAATCTGTGAGGTCTATCGTAGAACCACATGCTAGATCAAAATTTCTTCAGTCCGTGTAAAAAATGAGTCGGAATGTTATTGTGACTTATTTAGGAAGCGCTTAGCGCGTTATTATAAGAGATAGTAAAAAAACTTTAAATACAAAAGTTGGGGGGTTTATCATAAATTGCTAGAAAATGTAAAGTAAAAAGACGCATATCGAAGTTAGTAAAAAATGCAAATTTGGTAAATTTTTAATGTTTAATGCCCTGTATATTTTTCAAATTTTGAATATATTATTTCTTTCTGATTTCAAAAATATATATGTTGACATTTGCTTTTTTGAAATATTTGCATTTTTTTATTTTTATAAATTTTGATTAATTTTGTTTATTCAAGATAAATATTAAAAAATTCGTTAATAAGCCGCTTGTGAGCAAGAGCAAGATGCACTTTCAAATTTGTTTTTTCGATGTTAATAGCCCTTGTGGACCAGTAAGTGATGTAGTTACGGAGCCTTTGTGACTCAGACAGAGCGCAAAAGTGCACTTTTTATTTTTTGAAAGTGAAAGTGCACTAAAAAATTTAAAGTTAGTCTAGGTTATTTCCAGGGTAAAAATAAGTTCAATAAAATCTAAAAATAATGAAGAAATCTTATTCAAAAAAATTATCCATATTTGGAACACAATGTGTTTATACTATTAGGAATTTCTTTTAATTCAAATAGAGAGATTAAGAAAATAAGAAGTACTTTCCTTGCAATTTTGTCATTATTTTCTTTAATCTCTCTATTCGAATTAAAAGAAATTCCTAATAATATAAACACAGTGTGTTCCAAATATGGCTAATTTTTTTGAGTGAGTCAATTGTGATAGGGAATTACAACCTTACATATGTAAAGGAATAAAGATATAGCATGTGAATTCTACGATTGCCATCTAATTTACTTTACTAATTATCCTACATTATTTTATTAATTTGTGTTAATTTTCCATGTAGTTTAATGCATGGTTTGATTTTTTTAATAATGATACGAACATGTCTTGACTCTGATATGCTATTTCCAGATACACCTGCGAATGTATACCCGGCTTCACAGGACAACATTGCGAAACAGATATAAATGAGTGCGCTTCAAATCCTTGCGCCAACGGTGGCGTATGCATTGATTTAATTAATGGCTTTCGTTGTGAGTGTCCACGCGGTTACTACGATGCAAGATGCCTAAGTGATGTCGACGAGTGTAAATCGAATCCTTGTAAGCACGGAGGAAGTTGTGAGGACGGGGTCAATCAGTTTATATGTCATTGTTTAGCGGGTAATATACGGAAATAATTTGTTAATATTGTCAATTAATATTCACCATTTAAGGTTATGGAGGCAAACAATGTGAAAATGATATTGATGAGTGTGCCTCGAACCCTTGTCAGCACGGAGGAGTTTGTCACGATCATCTGGCGTCGTACACATGCGAATGTCTGGCCGGCTACAGTGGGGTCAACTGTGAGACAAATATCGACGATTGCGCTATTAACCCATGTAAAAATGGAGGATCGTGTATTGATCAAGTGAACGATTATAAATGTGCCTGCGAACTTCCATACACTGGTCGAAATTGTCATGAAAAGTTAGATCCCTGCTCTCCTAATCGATGCAGACACAATGCGCGGTGCACTCCCAGTTCTAATTACTTGGATTTTGCCTGTTCCTGCAGTGTTGGATATACTGGTCGACTTTGTGAACAAGACGTCGATGAATGTGAAGTTTCGCAACCATGCAGAAACGGAGCCACTTGTCGTAACACCAATGGATCATACCAGTGCATATGTGCGAGAGGCTATGAAGGGCGTGATTGTACCGTAAATACTGATGATTGTGCTTCATGTGAGTATCCAAAAAAAAAATCATTCCGGTGCATGTCATTTGTTACAATTTTAGATCCTTGTCAAAATGGTGGTACCTGTTTGGACGATATCGGTGATTACATGTGCTTGTGTGTTAATGGTTTCGAAGGTAAACACTGCGATGTCGATATTGACGAATGTCTCTCAAATCCTTGCCTAAATGGCGCCACATGTAATCAGTATGTCGATTCCTACACGTGCACCTGTCCTCTCGGATTCTCTGGAATCAATTGCCAAACCAATGACGAAGACTGTACGGAAAGTAGTTGTATGAATGGTGGAACTTGTAATGATGGGATCAACTCGTACACTTGCACCTGCAAACCTGGGTAAGCTTCATATTATTTTTAAGTGAGTTTGGCTGTGTTTGTTGAGCAATTATGGTCATAAAGACACCTAAATTGAAAAAAAAAAATTAAATACTCCTGAGATATCAAGCTTGGTTTAAATAATCTGCGCTTTCTTTGGATTGAAGCGTCTGGTGAGTTAGATCCAAATAAATGTAACCAATATAACTATTTATGATTCTCACAAAAACTTTATTTTACAGAAATCGTACTGTAGTGTTCTATCATGCAGGCAAATCTGTTTTATTTAATTTGATAAACAAGCAAATTTATTTCCTACATAGTTTACATATTACATATGAATTTCCTTTTTAATTTCGTCCTTATCAAGTCACGAAAGTAATTCACTACACAAAGTACCTATCTGGAAAGGTGTATGACATCAGAGCCGTCCTTGGCAAATGCGAGGCCTGGAGCAAAATATTTTTGCGGGGGCCTTTTTTAAAATGAATGCCCGGTGTGGGGGGGGGGGTTATGGAATACACTCGGAGGAAGGGGGTCCTCCACCGAAAATTTTTGCAAAATTATACATGCAAAGTCGTCATTTTAAGCACTTTGAATGACTGTCACGCGGCGGAAGGGAGAGGAGGAGATCATGCAAGATGACTCACTCACCGGCGAGCACGAGGCTTTGCTCACGACTACTGACTATCTCGTATGAATGAGAATTTTGTTCGTAGGTTTTTTAATTACCTAATCAATAATAGTTGAACATATTGCGCGGGTAATCAGATAGATATTTTATATATTATATTATACACGGTTCTACGCTAACTTCACACTACAAGAACACGGAAATAAAGTCAACCCGGCAACGTTTAAAAATAGCCACCCGAATGACTATTCTTTCTAAAACTAAACAAGATCCCGCTTAAATTTGAAAAGTGGCACGTGATCAAACATCTAAGGCAGGGCCTCCTTACGTTAGTTGTAAACAACGCTATGATCTGAAGTACAGTAGGAAAGGAACGTAAAATAAAACACTCAAATTGTGAAAAGTTTGTTTAATAATGATCGTAATTATTATGACTGTAAAAGCTCGGAAATTTAAGTCCAAAATAAATTACATTGCAAAAATAAACTTTGAAAATGGTAGTTCACCGAATCAAAATAGAAATAGGCTGGGAAAAAAAGAACTTACCAATAAAAAAAACCAGCCGTCAAATTAATATCAAATTGTGTTGTAAAATTTATTGTTTGTAGATGTGAATGTGTAACATAAAATTATAACATCACAAAAAGTAGCATGTAGACTTCAAGAGGTAACAAATAGGTTAAAAACAAGTTTTGGGAATTATGGGTCAAGTAAACAGGTACCAAGATTCTAAGAAAGGGTGAAATACACAGGATGTGACTCATCTTTGGTGCAATAAAGTCCTTTTGTTAAAAGCAAGATGGAAAATTACATGGCATTGTCGGCAAATTTAACTAAAAACCAGATATGTGGAAATTATAGAATCGCCACTCATTTATCGCACATAGATTCTAAACTGAAGAGCTTTTATTAGCGTAATCCCGCCTCTGGTTCCGGGGTTTCGAAGATATGCACGGAATTAGGTACCCTAACTCAATTTTGACTACAGTTTTTACCACCCCCGTGACTGCTTCACTCACAGAGAAAAATGTTAATAACAAACGACAAGTCAGTACATACATCAAAGGAATCGGTAATTTCCACATATTAAAATAAAATTATCAAAACTTATATGAATGTAACTTCAGGGACAAGACCAAGTAATCAACATCAATAAACATAAATTAAGCAAGCATTACACCAAAAACGTAAACAATTACAAACAAAAGGATAACGGTATTAAACATGTCATTCTGCATTGCGGTTAAACCAAGTAAATTTCAAAAACAAAGATTGAAACACACAGAAAATATAAAATGCGGCATACAAAACACAAATACGATATAAAGAAATGCTTAAATTACTACCTGCATTAAATAACACAAAATAACAACAAACATGTATGGAGCGACGCGTGCACGACCGCCATTCAAGCGAAGATGCCAAATGTAACCCACGTTCGTGCTTTTCTAGATGGCGCAGGCAGCTTTTCCCCACCTAGAAATTGCATGGTTGCCAACTCTCAAAAATGTATGTATCATCGTAAGTTGTATATACAGCGTGGAACCTCTAATCATAATGAATGTTCAAAATGTTCACCATTAACTGCAAGGCAGTGGCATAACCTATCACAAAAAATTTGAAATAAAAATTAATTTCTTTTACACGGGTGCTGTGTTATGTCATTGAAAAGAGAAAAAAAATTTCTATCAAATGAGCTAATGAAAGTGTGTATTGCTACTTTAAAAAAAATCAATTATTTTTGGTTATTCATTTGTTTTCTGAAATAAAAACAATGGAATGCTACCTTATTATGGGAAATAAATTGTTAAACAACTTTCATATAGAAAAATCTTAACCGAGATATATACTATATCCTATTAATGGGCATCCTGTATATTTATATATTAAAATATTATTATATTATTTTCATTCAACCAAAACTTATATTTATTTTTTAACGAGAGTAAGGTCAGGAGCGCGAGGCCTGGAGCGGCTGCTCCACCCTATGGACGGCACTGTATGACATATGTGCCTTATTTATCTTTTATCGAAAAACGTTGCACCCATAGCATACGTTTGGGTATGCCAGCTATACAATGAGTTTTTACCTTCTTAAAGTAAATAAAGGAAAGCCTCCTTTATAAATTGAGAGTTATAGATGTGTCAAATGTTATTTGATTCGTAATGAAAATATGTAACCATTTTATATTAGGACATTTAAGGGCACAAACTGTTCTCTCTTTCTGAGTTAAATGGTAGAACAGTATTGAATATTATTTTGAACTAAACTTTGCCCATTTATTTGATGTAAATAAAATCCTTTATTATCCATCACGTTGTTATCCAAAATCGGTCAAAAACGTTTTATGCACCAATTTTATTGAGAAAAAAACTATTGCATGATGTACAAGAAATGATCCATAATATGCATTTTTGGTAACCAAAATATTTTACCCAAAAGATGTCAAAACCACTATTTATGCAATAATTTTCTTGGATAAAGGCGAGGAAAAGGTCAGTTTTTTTTGCGCAACGAATTATGGACCGTAGTGCTTGTGTCTTTATTATTACGTCCGTCTGCCAGTCCAACCACGCTCAGAATATAAACGTATCGTTTGCCTATGTAAGTGTGTTCCGCTGGCAATACCCACGTATAGTAGTGGTTTTGATTAACTTAAGCGAGTCTGAAACTTAAACTTGTAAACTTTAATCAGCACATGCTATCGCAAAGCATCGCCCTAATGGAGCTATATTTTAGGATTTAAATAAAATTAAAATCTTTTATTTCCTAACAACTTTAACAACAGGATGAAAAGTAAGTATTGTGGACAACTTTTTCCAAACAATTCATCAATGGTTCTGTCTTTTGCGACATGTATGATGTTAGAAAATAACGCACAAAAATTAGAAAAATATTACCATATGCTTGACTAGCTTATGTATTGGACTAAATTTAGATACCTTTAAATAACAAAACGTCAAAAATGAACAAACAGCAATGAGTAGGTGGTTAATAAGACACAAAAACACACTACATATGATTTGTTTCCTTACAACTATTGGTATTACGTGAGAAATAATTCTTAATTTTGTGAAATATGAATCACATGAGAGTTTTTTCGCCTGTATTTGATTAAAGTTGTAAGAAAGAGAAAAAAATAAGCTTTCTGACATATCACAGACCTATATTGCCATTTAAAAAATTCAAGATGGCGGTCGCGCTCACAAACTGTGCCAAAAAAAGTTGTTTTTACCTCAAAATATGTGAAATAATTTCTAATTATTTATTAATACAAAGGTTGATTTTGATTAAAAACCGTGCTATCATAGTAAATGTCTGTGATATCGAATTGCAGAATACCTAGTACTGGAACAACGCAGGGTGCAGTTAGAGCCATATCACACAAAAAAGACCTACATCAAGTTGTTCAATGTTTCGTTTTTATGATACATACAATCTCTCCCATTTAATGAAACAGGCACTGTGCATCCTGACAGCACATGGCATGCTCGATTTCATAAATTTTCTACAAATCACGAATTTCTCCATTTTTTTGTATATCAACCATATGCATATTTTATGTTGTCATATAGCAAATTGATTGCTCTTTTGAAATATCGTAAAAGAACAAAGGGCATTGCATTTGAAAAACACAAGATGCATCGATTTTTCGTTACACCGGAAGTGATACCGGAAGTCTGAATTTGCTATCAGATAGACAGTAATGTCACATATAAAATTATATTTGACAAATTTTTCGTATATCGCCAAATAAATGAGATATTGAGGTATAACAGCTTATGGGTTCCAAATATGCAACTATCAAAAATTAATTTTGGCATTCATTACACTGTTGCTAAAAATTGGTCAAACTCGTTATTTAGTTACCAATTATGTTGGGAAAAACACTAAACTCTATTCTATGATGCCCAAGAAGTAGCATTTTTTGTAATCAAAATATACCAATGCTTGATGACATGTATTTTTAGAGACTAACATATTTTTGATATTTTTGGTAAAAAATTGTCAAAATCGTTACTTATGTACAGATTTTTGTGGGAAAAAGACTTCAGGTGTTGTATTTATATCAGGGTAGGCATCTGTCATAAGAGATTTTAAAAAATGTAATATTTATTATAAAATGTGTTCTAAGTATTTCTTGTAATTTTTTGTAACAAAATACAACATGGCGCAGTCGAGGCAGTTAGTTTATTAAACTGAGCAAAGTTTTCAAGAAGTATAGGTTCCGAAACATCAAATAAGTGTATTGTTGAACGGCTGAACCTAATTATAAGAAGAAAAGCCGAAATGGAATTCAAACCTCCAGCTAATTTGTCACTACAGGGAAATTTAAGTGAAAACTGGCGTAAATTTAGACAAAATTTTGAAATTTACCTGAAAGCTTCCGATAAGTCAACAAAGGACGATGAAACAAAAATAGCCATTCAATTAAATATAATTGGTGAAGATGCTGTGGAAGTATACAACACCTTTACATTGTCCGAAACTGACATGGTGTCATTTCCAGCAGTATTAAAAGCTTTCGATGACCATTGTAGTCCCAAGAAAAATATCGTGTTTGAGCGTTTTAAATTTTTTAGTAGAGTGCAGCAAGAAGGAGAAGGGTTTGATCAGTTCTTAACTGATATCAAGAAATTATCCAAGTCCTGCGAATTTGGATTATTAAGTGATGAGATGGTCCGAGACAGAATTGTTTTAGGGATTTATGACAAGGTCATGCAGGAAAGATTGTTACGGGTAGAGGATCTTGATTTGGCAAAGGCTGTGAATTTATGTCGAGCTGCAGAAATTTCAAAATCTCAAGCTAGAAATTTGCAAGGGGCTTCAGTCGAAGTTGAGGTCATTAAGAAAAAGTCAGCAAACCGAAATTATAAGTCTGTTTCCAAAACGAGTAGTGAAAGGTTTGAATGTAGAAGATGTCAGACTGTTCATGGCGTTCGTGAATGTCCTGCCTTTTGGAGAAGCTGCAATAAATGTGGACAGTTAAATCATTTTGCAGTTTCCTGTCAAGTAAAAAATGTGAAGGTGCTACAAGAACAGGATGAGCAATCTGACGAGTTGGAGTTCACCATTAACAGCATTGGGGTAAGAAATCAGAACAAAAAGGTTTTGTCAATTAAGTCATGGTTTCAAAATGTAAACGTTGGTGATCATCATGTGCCTATTAAATTTATTAAACTAGACACTGGTGCAGATGTGAATGTCCTGTCGCGTAAAATGTTAAGTGAAGTAGGTGTTCCAGAGTCTCAGTTACAAAATACAAACATAATTTTGGAGGCATTTGGTGGTACTGTCTTAAAATCTCTTGGCATTGTTCCACTAAAAGTTCAGTGTAACAACGTTGAATTTACTGATAACTTCATAATTGTAGACAAAATTGTTTCTCCGTTATTAGGACTTGAGTCTTGTACTAAGTTAGATCTTATTGCACGCAAAGTAGATGCCTTGGGTAAGTTTATGACTAAGGATGAATTTATTAAGAATAATCTAGAATTATTTCAAGATCTGGGTAAGTTTAAGGATAAATGTGAAATCCAAATAAATAATGAAGCCATACCGGTCATTAACCCTCCTAGGGGTATTTGCTATTCGTGACAAATTAAAGGAAACCTTGATATCCTTAGAAAATAGAAAAATTATTTCAAAAGTTGATAAACCATCTGGTTGGGTTAATAATATCGTAATTGTTGAAAAGAAGGATGGCTCCTTAAGACTTTGTTTGGATCCTCGTGATTTAAATTTAGAAATTAAAAGACCCGCATATGTCCTTATTCCAACTCTTCAAGATATAATTGGAAACCTTAAAGGTAAAAAGTTTTTTACAGTGCTCGATTTAAAGGAAGGTTTTTGGCATGTAGAACTTACTGAAAAGTCTAGTGATCTTTGTACATTTGCTACGCACTTTGGTTGTTACAAATTTAATCGTTTGCCTTTTGGGCTTAATATGGCTCCAGAATATTTTCAAGCCATTAATGAAAGAATCTTTGGAAACTTGAAGGGTGTTCAAGTGTACATTGATGATCTCTTGATAGCTGCCGATTCCTCCGAGGAACATGATCAAATTTTAAATTCCGTGATCATAAGAGCTACTGCAAATGGAGTTAAATTTAATCCTAGCAAGGTTCAATTTAAGCAACCCTCAGTTAATTATTTTGGTCATATCTTTTCGGAGGATGGAATGTCAGTTGATCCAAACAGAATAGCAGCAATTAAAGGATTAAAAGATCCCACAAATGTAAAAGAACTGCAAAGTATTTTAGGAATGATAAATTATTTGCGACAGTTTATACCGAACTTAGCCGATATAACTTCTCCATTGCGTGAATTATTAAAACAAAAAGTTGAATTTAAATGGTTAACTGCACACTCGGTTGTGATACATAAAATTAAAAACATAATTTCTAATGCTCCAGTGTTAGCTAACTTTGATGCATTTAAAAAAATCACCATACAAGCCGATGCATCCAAAGATGGTCTGGGGCGCTGTCTTCTTCAGGATGACAAACCTATTTCATTTGCTTCTCGTAGTTTGAGTTCTAGTGAGAAAAATTATTCCCAAATAGAGAAGGAGCTTCTCGCTATTGTTTTTGCAGTAAACAAGTTTCATATCTTCATTTATGGTCGCGAAATAAAGGTAAATACTGATCACAAACCTTTGGTAACTCTAATGAATAAAAAAATTGGAGATATCGCCTCATCGCGTTTGCAAAGAATGAGAATAAAATTACTTAAATATAAAATAGTGTTAAATTTCTTGCCAGGAAAATATATGTTTATTGCCGACTTGCTTTCACGATTTTACCTAAATTTTCCAGAGAGCGAAGGTGATGATCAATGGATTTCTGAAACTGTTCATACTTTAAGCAAAAATTTAAATATTTCAGATGCTAAAAGGTTGGAATTTATACAGGCTACTGCCAATGATCCAGTTTTGTCAAAGGTAATGTTCTATATTATAAATGGCTGGCCTAAAAGTAATGAACTAATGGACGGTTCAATTAAATACTATTATAAGTTTCAAGCAGAATTATCTGTCGAAGATGGCTTGTTATTTATAAACCACCGATTAATAGTCCCGGATAAACTTAGATTCTATATTTTACGGCTTCTTCATGAACCTCATTTTGGTACTGTTAAGACCAAACAACGTGCTAGACAAATTGTATTTTGGCCAGGCATGTCAAGCAACATACAGAATATGATATCTAATTGTTATGTTTGTGAACGTTACCAAAATGCTAAACAAAGGGATTTATTGATTCCACATGAGATACCAAATATACCATTTTATAAAATAGCTTGTGATATAATGGATTATGCAGGTAATAGCTATCTTATTGTACAAGATTATTTCTCGAAATGGCTCGAGATCATTCTATTAAAAAACAAAACCTCACCAGAAATTATTAAACACCTCAAAATATTGTTCGCGACGTTTGGTATTCCCAACAGAGTAATTTGTGACAATATGCCTTTTTCTTCCTTTGAATGCAAGAACTTTTCCAAAGAGTGGAATTTCCAGTTTTGCACAAGTTCTCCTAAATATCCACGCAGTAATGGTCAAGCAGAACGTGCAGTTCAAACTGCTAAACAAATGTTCAAGAAATGTTCTCACGACAATATTGATATCCACCTCGCATTATTGGAGTTTAGAAATACTCCCGTTTCGGGTATTGGTATATCGCCAAGTCAAATGCTCATGAACAGACTAACCAGAACCAAGCTTCCTATTCACACACAATTACTAAAACCCGTAATTCCTAAAGATGCACATAAAAAACTTTTAGCCAAACAGGAATATTTTAAACGAAATCACGATAAAAGTGCAAAAAATTTTAACCAAAATTTGAAAACAGGTGATAATGTTCTTATAAAAGACCAGTTTTGGGAAAAAGGACAAGTAGTTGGTAATCATTCCACTCCTAGATCTTTTAATGTAATTAATAATAAGAACAATGTTGTTAGAAGAAACTTTAGCCAACTAAAACCAACTAATACAAAATTTGAAATTAACAACTCATCAAACTGCTCAAATGATCATGATCAAACTCAAAATATGGATCGTTCTTCTGATAACACCGCTGATAATAACTTAGAAACTATTAACAATCAAACCACCTGTGAAATTGATCCTTCAAATGACCCAATTCCTGATTCTAATATTAAACAAAACAACAGTGGTCGGATTGTTAAATTACCGAATAAGTTTAAAGATTATTTTATGTAATCTCATAATAATGTTTTGTTTTAAGTTTGTTTTGATTTGTTTGTTTTAGAAAAAAAAAAAAAAGGAAGATGTTGTATTTATATCAGGGTAGGCATCTGTCATAAGAGATTTCAAAATGTAATATTTATTATAAAATGTGTTCTAAGTATTTCTTGTAATTTTTTGTAACAAAATACAACATCAGGTTCAGATAGGTGTCTCTTTTATTTTATACGGGGAGGTAAAAATACAGATTACTAATCAGAAATAAGGTGTATACATGCATAATCTTTATTGTTCCACAAACAGACGATGATGTGTAAAGAATGAAAATTTGGAAGATGGAAAGTGCTTGCTTGCTTAATTTTTAATAGCAGCACATCTGGCACCCATAAGTTTCTATATATCGAAAACTTGAAGTTGATACAAGGTCTTGGGACTGAGTATAGTGCGGAACGACGGACGGAAAAGTGAGGACATAACTTTCGTGGGTTGCTCTAAAACTCACTGTATAGCTGGTGCTCACAAACGTATGCTACAGTGCTACGTTTTTCGATATCGAGATAAGGACAAAACTAAAAAGCAAGGATTATGAATATTTTCAAATCCTCTGTTTCTGTTTCAAAATAAATAGGTTGCAATCACAGGCAGGTATAATAAAACAGCTACAAGATAGGGACATATGTAAGATAGGTAAACCGTGTCAATTAGGAAATAAATAAAATAGATTTATCTGTATGATGAAATACTGCGGTATGTGTACTGATTGGTTTTTGTAAAATAAAGTTTAGATGAGAATCTTAAATAATGATATTGGTTACTTTTAGTTTGGATTTAACTCACCAAACGCTTTAATCCAAAGAAAGCGAAACCTATATAACTAAGCATGATATATCTGGAGTGTTTAAATCTGTGATCACGCCTTGCTATGTTACTGTAGTACCTATTAGATTCTAACTAAAAGTTTATTTCAGGTACAGAGTAAAGTCTGTACCACAATGAATTGATTCAATTAAAATTCTTACTTATTTGTTCTTTCTTTGTACAGCTACACCGGTTCAAATTGTCAAAATCGCATTAACTTGTGCGACAGCTCTCCATGTCTTAACGGCGCCAACTGTCAGGATCATATCTCCCATTACACTTGCCACTGTCCCTATGGCTATGCGGGAAAGGATTGCGCCGAATACGTCGACTGGTGCATAACGAATCCTTGCGAAAATGGAGCTACCTGCAGGCAAATCAAAAATCAATATCAGTGCCTTTGCGCGCCCGGTTGGACCGGGAAGGTGTGCGATGTCGAAATGGTCAGCTGTAAAGATGCGGCGTTACGAAAAGGTTTGTCCACGCCCTTTTTTTTGTTTGTGTTTCCTAATTGTTCAACATGTCTAGGTGTTGCTCCCAAATTACTTTGTAACAATGGCACTTGCGAAGACATTGGTAATTCTCATCGTTGCCACTGCCTCGAGGGTTACGCCGGGTCGTACTGTCAAAAAGAAATAAACGAATGCGAATCTGCTCCTTGTCAAAATGGCGCGACTTGTAAAGATCTAATCGGCGCATACGCGTGCCACTGCACCAAGGGTTTTCAAGGTCAAAATTGTGAGTTGAACGTTGACGATTGTAAGCCGAATCCTTGCCAGAATGGGGGAACCTGTCACGATTTGGTCGACAGTTTCCAATGTTCCTGCCCGCCTGGAACTTTGGGTTACATTTGTGAAATCAATATTGACGATTGCCGACCGGGTGCTTGCCACAATAACGGCACTTGCATGGATAGAGTTGGAGGATTCGAGTGTAAGTGTCCGGCCGGATTTGTCGGTCCTAGGTGTGAAGGTGACATTAACGAGTGCCTATCCAACCCTTGCGCTACACCCGGAACTTTGGATTGTGTACAACTCATCAATGATTATCACTGCAACTGTAAAGCTGGATACATGGGAAGGCATTGCGAGGTGAAGGTTAATTTTTGCGCAAACTCTCCATGTCAAAATGGTGGTGTTTGCACGGCGGTACACGCACGACATCGATGTACGTGCCCGGATGGTTTCTACGGTAAAAATTGCGAGTTTAGTGGTTACGATTGTGATTCAGACCCTTGTCAGAATGGCGGACTGTGTCGAATTTCGGATGGTGGGGGTTATGTTTGTGAATGTCTCGAAGGAACCACCGGTACAAATTGTGAAATTGATTCTTTGAACGAATGTAATAGCAATCCCTGTCGACATCCTGACGCAATTTGCCAGGATAAGTTAGGCGACTACGCATGTTACTGCCCGCCGAAACATACAGGCAAGAATTGCGAAATTTACGATCGTAATTCCCCAGGAGGTTTGGGAACCATTGTCGTTTCGCGAAAGGATGTCAATACATTTTATGCGAAAGATTTGGAATTGCAAAGAAAACAATGTGTGAAGAACAACTGCTCGTCAAAGCGAGGTAATTTCAGATGTGACGAAGAATGTAACACGTATGCTTGTGATTTTGATGGGAACGACTGTTCGTTGGGTATAAATCCGTGGGTAAATTGCACTGCACCAATTAAATGCTGGGAGGTTTTTATGGACGGGAATTGTGATAAGGAGTGCAACAACCCACAGTGTTTATTTGACGGGCGCGATTGCGAAAAATCACTGCAACCTTGTAATCCAGTTTACGACGCCTATTGTCAAAAACATTACGCAAACGGCCACTGCGATTACGGGTGTAATAACGCTGAATGTAATTGGGACGGATTAGATTGTGATCGAAAACCACCAGAAATAGCTGAGGGAATTATCGTTATGATTGTGCTAATGGATATGCAGGCATTCAAACAGAATTTGGTCGCTTTCTTGAGGGACACCAGTTATCAGTTACGGACGACGGTGCGAGTGAAAAAAGATCAGCTTGGAAATGACATGATTTATCCCTGGACGGGAACGTCGACAACAAATCTTCAAGATACTTATTATGGCCAAAAACACAGTGTGATATTTTCAGAACAGTACGGAAATGCTGGGGTTAAAGTTTACTTGGAAATCGACAACCGAAAATGTACCTCTTTATCTGATTCAGATTACTGCTTCCAATCTGCAAATGCAGCTGCCGAGTTTCTGGCGGCTAAAGCTTCTAGACACACACTTTCCCAGTCATTCCCAATCTATAAAGTCACTGGTGTTAATGCTCCTATAGAAGATGGTGGAGAAACTCCCACGAACGCCAAGTATGTGATAATAGGAATTTTGCTAATGTTCTTAGTGGGCGCGGTCATTGGAGTTATTGTCACCACTCAAAGAAAACGCGCATCTGGAATTACATGGTTTCCAGAAGGCTTCCTCAGAACTAACTCCGGGACAAGACGAAGGTCGCGTCGCCGAGGACCAGATGGTCAAGAAATGCGCGATCTGAATAAAAACCCATCCATAGCATGTATGGATCTTGACTTAAATTCGCACGGCGGACATATGGGACATGCCCAACAGTGGTCGGATGATGAATCTGATATGCACCAACCGAAACGCATGCGCGTGTTAGAAGCAGGATACGCGAGCGATCATACTGCAATTACCGACTATGAGGAGGCGGAGCCACGAACTTGGGGCCAGCAGCATTTGGAGGCGGCCGATCTAAGACCCCCAGCTTCTATGCTAACACCTCCTCAAAATACCGACATTAGCGACATAAACGCCAGAGGTCCTTGTGGAATGACGCCAATTATGGTGGCAGCTGTACGCGGTGGAGGTATTGATACTGGAGAAGACGAGGAAGATGATACAGCAGGAAACGTTATACAAGATCTTGTAGCTCAAGGCGCCGAGCTCAACGCCACCATGGATAAAACCGGCGAAACGTCCTTACATTTGGCCGCACGATACGCCAGAGCAGATGCTGCAAAACGACTGTTGGACGCTGGTGCGGACGCGAATGCTCAAGATAACACTGGTCGTACCCCTCTACATGCCGCGGTTGCCGCCGATGCCGTTGGAGTTTTCCAAATTCTCCTTCGGAATCGAGCTACTAACCTTAATGCACGCATGCACGAAGGTACCACACCTCTAATTCTTGCTGCCCGATTAGCTATAGAGGGTATGGTACAAGATCTAATTAGCGCAGAAGCAGACATAAATGCCGCGGACAATTCGGGTAAAACGGCGCTGCACTGGGCGGCCGCAGTAAACAATGTAGAAGCGGTTAATATTCTTCTCGCACATGGTGCTAATAGGGACGCTCAAGACGATAAGGTAGTACGAGAAATGAAACTTTGCATGTGGTTATCCTAACATTGTTCTTTTCTAGGACGAAACTCCACTCTTCTTAGCTGCCAGGGAAGGCTCTTACCAAGCGTGTAAAGCACTTTTGGAAGCATACGCAAATAGGGAAATAACGGATCATATGGATAGATTACCGAGAGATGTCGCTAGTGAACGGTTGCATCACGATATTGTTAGGCTTCTCGAGGAGCACATTCCTAGAAGTCCCCAGATGGTTAATGTGGTTCAAAGCAATTCGATGCTAAGTAAGTTGTTTTTTATTTTATTATTTACGACTCCAAAATTGCTATAGTGGGGAATGTAGGGAACTGACGATCATCTGGTAGTTACTAGGTTTACAGTTTGTTCTGATTAACCATGTGCCACTGCCCACTCCACTCATGTCAGCAGTTTCAGATCTATAATCACAAGGTGGATGATGTCTCAAAGATCTCTCTACCTGTGATCTATCTTTAAAGGGTCTAGTGGATTTACTTGGAGGCTTGTTTCTTGGATGTGCCTTCATTAGATCTGTTATGACCGGATTTCATGCTCTTATGCATTACATAAATATTGTATGCAGTTCAAAATAAGGCAATAATTTACACAAAAATGAATCATCAGATTAGCTGTATTCATTTCAAGTGATTTAACTAAGTTAAATCAGTTGAAGTGATTGCACTTTGTTTTTTTCGTTTACAATCAGTTCCCCCCACTACGGACCAAGTGAACAGAAATCACTATTATCTGATTGCGGGAAAAGTTGGTACAGTTAAATCACTTCAATTAACATAACCTCAGAAAACTGGATACATAACCTCCCAGGCTGTTTGTTTATTTTTTATCGGACATTTAAGAACTGTTTATGGGTAGTGTACCTGTCGAATGCCACCTGAATCAGTTTCCTATACAACTAAAGTTCATACTTTTTCGTTCAACGTGTCACATATTTAATAATACTAATAATAATGCTTATTTACGGAAAAATTTCATTGTACAAAGTTAGACATTAAATATTAACAAGAATTCTTTTAATATGAATTCTAAATGAATAGAATGAGCAAGATTTAAACAATATTACCACTAAAAAACTATAATAAACCAATCCATTTCTTTTTAGGTTATGTTAAGTAATAACAAACACCAAACTGTCAGAAGTCGTGTTTTCTTCAAGTGATTTAACTGACTGATTTTAGTGAAACTGATTGTGATTTATAAATCACCAGAAACGAATACGCCTATCAGCGCAAAGCAAATAGTGCCTATTTTGCATTTTTGGGGTTTTTGTGCATATTTAAGATAGATTAGCATTTTATTAATTTTTTGACCCATTTTTTTTTACAAAACAAGTTTCCAGTGGTACTAATTGCAACAATCATATTTTTATTTTTAAATTATAAACAAATAATACATCAAATAAAACAAAAATTATAAGATAGAAACAGAACAAAAGAAAACAATAAAAATAGAAAAAAATAAAAAGAAAAAAAACCAAAAGAAAAAAGGAATAAAAAATAAATGATCTCGTAAATGATATACAAAAAAAATATGGCGCCCAAGTTTGTTAAATTATAAAACGGCAGCGGTGTTCAATTAGCATTAATTTATAATGCAAGCAGATTTTCAAGTTCAACAAGTGAGATGACGAATGTTGCCTGGGGAAAATGTTGAACATTTAAATGTAGAATCTTGTCTGATACCTCAACTAAAGTACGCTCCAATTACTCGTTTCGATACGGAAAGATGCTTCTCTGTGTATAACCATGTACTAAGTAACAGGCGCACAAATTTTAAGATGGATCACTTGGAACAATACTTAATCATTGTTTTAAAATACAGCTTATGTTTAAAAAGGTCGAATTAAAAAAGTTGGAATAATTTTTTGTGCATTATTTAATTTTTCATGCATATCTTCATGCTTTTTTGCCATATTTTTTGTGCATATATGTATACAGGCGTTTTTTTTCATTTTAAGCATTAGGATCTTGGAAACCGTAAGACATAGAGATTCGGTTAAATGAGGAAAGAGTTGTAGTTTTAAGAGCATATTCAAGATATGCTTTTGTTTTTTTAAAAAAATCCACAGTTTACTAGATATGAGCGAAAAACATATTTAGTGATTTTTCATTTAACTGTTGTAGGATGGTTAGTATTAATTTTCGAGTTATTATTAGCAAACATACATTTTTTTAATGGGAATCATAGTTGGCTGTGACATTTTTAAATAGTGCATTTTTTTCTGTTTACAATGATATAAGGTTCATTGTACTTACTTCGACAGATAAACATGATACAGACCTGTTTGTATTATTAAGAGTAGTAAAAACAGATTTTGCCATGGGAAACATTTTTGTTCATTTAATTACTGTCTATTATAATATTTAACTTGCAGTTAGTTGTGCGGCGGAGCACCGTTATGTTAAAACCAGAGTAAATTACGTCGTGTTTCCAAATCTAACCCATCCTACATATCTTGAAATTCATTTGGTAGAAAATGAAGATAACATTGGCCTGTCCAATTTTCGTCGTAAATGAAAGGTACCTATCTTACTAGATATTGTTTTCCATGGCCAACTCTGTTTGCTTACCTCTCAATAATACGAAAATTACTGCAGGGCGTTTATTTATTAAAGTACATTTAGCAAGCCTGATATCGTTATAAAGAGAAAAATTTGTCCTTTTTAAAAATGTCAAAGCCAACTATGACTACCATTTAAAAAAATTAAAGTTTGTATTATAACTCAAAAATTGTAAGATCTAAAAATAAATTAGTATGTTCATCATGTTGAACATTAAAATGTCTAAAACTTTTATTCGTGTCATTTTATTGTATTTCTGATAATAACGATTCTACAACAGTTATATGAAAAATCACTAAATCTGTTTTTCGCTCATATCTAGTGAACTGTGGATTTTTTCAAAACACAAAAGCATATCTTAAATAAGCTCTTAAAACGACAACTCTTTCCTCCTTTAACCGAATCCATATGTCTTGTGGTTTCCGAGATCCCAGTGCTTAAAATGAAAAAAAACTCACCCTGTATGTGCATTTTTGACGTGTTTTCATATGCATATAAGTCCGGTCCCTAGTTATGAGGTATGGCATTCCTATTGAACGTCAGTAGATCTTTGGTCCTTATTGATAATAAATTGTATTTTCTAAGGTTCATTAGTCATTAACCAACTAGTTCAGAGCTGAAAAAATTAAAGGCTTGATATCACTGAACTATAATTATACTGGAACGCGCGATCCGGGAGAGAGGGCGACAAGGGGGATTGCTGTCCTACTCTCGCGCATGCTTATTTGATATGTTTTGAATTTATATTAATGACAGTGACAGAAATCTCGCTTGCAATATCTCTCTCGGTGCGTCCAGTGTAATTATAGTTCAGTGCTTGAGATCTCTCACAACGGTTGATTCGTTTAGGCTATATATTCTTTGGTATGATCACCGACTAAAGTAATGATAATCGGAAGCTTACGCCACTTACTATAATGCATAAAATCTGGTTTTACCCAATTTTGGTAATTATACCTACTGTAGCGTTTATATCAAGGCAGTGACGAAAAAACGCTGAAGTAAAGACGACATGCAGTCCATCCCACCCGAGTCACCGCCGTAAACCTTATCTTCAACGTTGCCATTTTAGATAGTGTTGGTTGGTTGCCTAAGTGGCAGTAAGCTTCCGATTATCATAACTTTAATCGGTGATCGTACCTTGTCACAACTTATCATATTATGGTTGAAGGCCACCCAGTTTCTTTAAATACTTTACTTTCCCTGAATAAAACTGAGAAGATACAAGGGAAATAACAGTGAAATCAAATCAACAAAAGAAATAATGGTTTATTCTAGTCGATATTAAAATAAAATTGTCTCTAAAAATGGATAGCATATCCCCAGATACAAAATACTCCTCCAATATTCAAAATGATCGATTAAAATTGACTCAAAACTCTTATGCCCGGTTTCACGAAGGATGATTAAGGATAATTCAATGATTAAAAATATTAGAATGTTAGCCACCTTCACGAACTTATAAATTAAGATGGACTGCTAATGCTAAATTAACAAATGGCACCTACATGGGGGCCGCCATGATGTGCACTCACTTGGCGCGAAATTCAAATCAACTAATAAACAAGCATAAACCTCACGTTTTCTAAATAAATTACTGTGACACATGTCATTTTCCAAGGCTGCAATAGTCTCAAAACTTGAGCACTAGGAAAATTCTCCTAGAAAATAACTGAAATGTGCACATCATGGCGGCGCTCATGCTAGGGCCATTTCTACCTCTATGCAACTGTTTGATCAGCAGTTCATCTTAATTTATAAGTTCGTGGCCACCTTTGATTATATGCCCATTTGTTTCCCATTCTAATATTTTGAATCGGTGATTAACCTTAATCATTGTTTGTGAAACTGAGCATTAGCCAATTAAACATCCAAAACCCCCCAATTCAACAATGATCGCATACAAATTACAGGGCAGAATACACAAAAGTCTCCCCACACAATATGACAACACTTAATAATTGTTTCGATATAGAAAACGCAAAGAAAAAGAGAAATCTTACCTGTGGGTAAATGGCTGAAGGAGCTCTCCACGTTGACGTTGCAATGATCACCTAAAACAAATCAAAAGAGAAAGGAAATCCACGCATCTAACCTGTGTGTCTACAGGTGATAGAAAAGCTTCTTATTTAATATACAATCCACCTTAAGGAAATTGACACACCATTTGCTGAGAATGAATGGAATTTCCCAATCCCAGCGCGTCAAATTTGCGTGAATAAACTTTGTATCGATAGGTGGAGCCCTCTTATCAAACTGCTTTAGATGCTACAGGGGTTCTCCAACAAGTAATAATACCTCGATTCTGCCCACAATCTTTGTAGCTCTTCCTTTTATGCCTAAGCCTATGCATACCAAATTTGGTTCCAATTGGTTTAGCTGGAAATGCGAGTACAGACAGACAGATCGACCGAGATCATCAATATTTTGTTTGATTCGGATTCCTGGTGCTCTAAAACGTGTATTTCTTTTAAAAAAGTAGAGGATCGTTTTTTACCCCAATGTAATACTTCCCTTATTAACGTGCTGGTAAAAACGCCAAAGGTAATGTGTTGGTGGGCCCAAGGATTGAACCCGGCACCATCCTCTTGTAGGCTAGTGTCCTTGTGTTCATATCAATCATTCGTTTAGTCTCAAGTTATGTTTTGATGAAATCACCCTGCAGAAAATTGTCTCCATCTTAGTAAAAATAAATAAGTAGTCACTACTCCAGGTAATTGTACATTTGTTGTACCTTATTAATTTTATGAATCAAATAATAATAATAATAAATTGTTACAGCATCCTCAAATGGACAGATGATTCAGCAGCCCACCGTTATAGTTGCTAAAAGACAGAAATCGAAGAGGCCAAGTAAGATGGGTCACAATGGACCTTTAGATCCGGCAAGTCCAGAAATAGAAGGTGCAAACACTGGAGGGAGTATAAGACGTAAACCTAGTATAAAGAAATGTCAGAAAAAGGGCATAAATAGCGTAAACCACACTGAAATTCCGCACAGCATCGATTCTGTCAATTCCACACTTAGTCCTGTGGAATCACCCATGACCAATAATTCGCTGCCCAGCCCTTACGATACGGGTTCGATTTATTCCAACATGGGAATGGCGTCTGCCTTAGAAGGATTAATAAGTAATAAACAACCACCAAGTTATGAAGATGTCATAAAAACCAATCAGTCCATTCATAATCTTCTAAACTTGGAAAATTATGGGCCTTTCACACTATCAAATTTCCAAGATCAGCTAATCTTACAAAGGCAGTTACAACCAAATACGCTTAGTCCTCCTTACTCCAACCAATCGCCACCCCATTCGGTTCAATCAAACATGTCATTGTCACCTCAAGCATATAACGGATCTCCTTCGCCTGCAAAATCGCGTCCGTCTTTACCGACAAGCCCGACCCACATAGCTGCAATGAGAGCCGCCACCCAGCAAAAGCACGGCGGAGTGCCACAAACTCAAAATCTCCCGATGGGTTTCGATTTTAGCCAAGCGGGACTCGAGTTATCCCTAGCGTACACGTCCGCGCAGCCGCACAGCGTCACGCCGCCCACGTTGCATCCGCAGCAGTTTCAACAGAATTACTTTCTAACGCCTCCATCTCAACATTCCGATATTACTCCGCAGCATTTAGGACCGGACAACTTCCCCACGCCCAGTCCGGAAAGTCCGGGCCACTGGTCGTCGAGCTCTCCCCACTCGTGTGTATCCGATTGGTCGGAAAATATCACCAGCCCGAATACATACCACACCTCCGGACATCAGACAAATAAAGGTGTCGACGCCGTTTATATTTGAGAGTCGAGGACACTAAAGTCCTGTTTAGGTTAAGCTATTCCCCTAACATGACATATTCTAAGATCTCATTTGCATTTCGAAAATAGTATATCGGAAAAACTGTCGAATGGCGGCAAATGTACCGTGTACATTTGCGTAGTAGAATATGTTTGGTAATGGCAATATTAACCTTAACCAGAATGACGCCAATGTTTTAAATAAAAATTTATTTGTAACTTATCACGTGCCTTGACACTTGTTAAAAATGTTGTAATTTTAATGTAATATGTATTTACAAAATGCCCTGTAAATAGTTATTTTAATATTGTTAGCTATATCTCTTTTTAATGCAAGATACTGGTTTTATATAGTTAAGAGGTAGAATACACTATCGCCAAAATTTCAAAAATCAACTACAAAAGTGTCTTACATGTCTGTGATTTTTAAGTAATTTATGTTTTTAACATCCTTGCTAAAGGTAACAGTAGCTTTATAAGTTTTAATTTAAATAGCCACTGTCTTGTAGGTGGCCACTGATAAGGTTAAAGGTGGTGGTATCTGGTATTCTAAATTTTATGCTAAAGATTTATCACAAACAGACAGTTATATAACTGAATGTTAAAAATTAGGAATTTAAAATATCGTTTGAGAAATTGTGTTAAATTAAAATGTCTTTGGCAGAATACCACCACCTTTAACCTTATCCGTGTGACCGCCTACAAGAAAGTAGACATATACAAGTAGATTTTCATTATTGTACATTCACAAAAATCATTTGAAAAATTTTAGTACGTTTTTTATTGTAAAAAGTACTGATTTTAGGTAACTTCTTTTAATTAGTCTTACACTCTTATTATTTACATTTAAGTTTTAATCATTTAGTTTACATGTCGCATGCTTACAGAGTAAACGAGAATATTTTACTTGTAGACTTAGTTAATATTACATCCGTGTACTATATACTTTGGATAAATAAACTGATTTTATAGATTTCTTTGCTTTAGTTCCTTTAAAGTAGCTATTTTATCTTTAACATCCCATGCCTTCTTTTTACTAAGAGCTCATTATCCTTCATAACAAAAGGATGTGTTTTTCTGTAAAAAAAAAGCGATATTTACGATTAAGATTTTACCACGTCCAGTAGAAGTATGGCAAGATAGAATGACAGAATGCTTTTATTTTAATTTATTTAAGCTACAACAATAAATTCTCGTTTAAATATTGAAATTTGCTCAATGGGATAATACTTGTGCCACGCAGTCGTAAACTGTAGGCATGGGAGAGGACAATCTTTTATGCAAATTCAAGGCTATTCAATTATTCTTATTCTTTTTATTTTCCTCTTTCCATCTTAGATCATGCATAATACGTATATGCTTTCCATAGAGTAATATGAGCTGTCAAATGTATAATAAATAGATCTACAAATTTAAATAAAACAATACTGTAACAATAGGAACACAGTCAAAATGAAGAACATAGATATTCGGCTATTTGAATAAAAAGGATGATTAACGATGAGGCCATTTGCCATATATCAAAAATTTTGTTGATTGAGGTTTCCTGTTCTTGTAGGTCGTGGGGCAGATGATTAAATAGTTTTAGGCTCACGTATTTTGGACAGTGTTGCGCCATGTGGGAATTAACTGACTCCATATCAGGAAAAAGTCACCCTTAGTAGGTGTGATCTGAAGCAATTATCATAATATTCATCAATTCAACAAAATGGAAACGCATAAAGCTCACTCCTCGTCTCCAAGAGATCATAGAAAACAAAATCTATCTTGGGTTAGGTCTATGTACATAGAAAAGAGTACATAAGCAAATTCAGAAACTACTTAGTAAAAAGCGCCCGAGAAAGCCAACTTAAAACGCTTCTAGAGACCGGGTGTTCAACAAACTTCACAAATATACAGTGTGGTCATAACTTCGGGTATGAAACTTCAAGGCGGAAAACGGGTCCTTCGTTACAAAATTTGGAATTCCAACCTTTCTTAAAACTGACAATGGACCACAATTTCAATGTGTAGAGTTCAAGAAATTTTGCGTAAATTATAACATTAAATTAGTTCAATTAACATTCATGTGGGCACGTCCCCCACTATAGCATAATAAGGTATACTTTTAAAGTATACTTTATACTTTATAGCATAGGTGGTAATTTACCGCCTCTACGGTTTTGTCATATTTTTACTGTATTGTGACCTACAGGGTGGCCATTTGAAAACGAAACAGAGCCTATTTTGGGGACCTCAAAACATTTACGAAAAAATCCTGGGACCCGTCAATTTTTCATCCAAGGGGGAACTATTTTTTGCTAGTTTCGCCCCCCTGAGGGCAAAGCCATAGCGGGGGTGACAACTGCCCCCAAAATTTTAAATCGAATGGGGGGTCGAGTGATACCTTATTTTGAAGGTATTTTTATGTAGATTATAACTCATTTTAATCAATTTTATTTTAAGTGCTTAAAGCTAAAATCAATCAAGTAAATATTAAAAATGTTGGCCTTCGACTTCCATACAATAATACAGGTTTTGTTCAAACCTCTCCCGTACATTTTCAAAAACTTCTGGGGTGATTTGACGACATTCATCAATTATTCTTTGTCGCAAGTTCTCTAGCGATGTTGACTGACTAGTATAAATTTTAATTTTTAAATGTCACCATTAAAAAAATCTAACGGAAAGTCCGGGGAACGAGGAGGCCATTCGCTCCTCTTCTTCTTTCAATCCATTGTCCTGGAAACGTTTGGTCCAAATATTGACGAACCCTTGCAGCATAGTGGGGTGGCGCACCATCTTGCTGAAATACTAGACGATTTTTCAAGTACCTACTCGTTGTTATTTTCTAGTATCTGCACTAATGCTGGATGAATCGTATTTTCTCATAACTCCAGGTACATCTCTCCTGTTAGATTGCCAGGTACAAAGAAGGGGCCTACGATATGGTTACCAAAAATGCCAGCCCAAACATTCAATTTTTCGGGACATTGTGTATGCACCTCACGAAATATTCTGGGATTTGAATCAGCCCAATAGCGACAGTTGTGACGATTCACAGTACCGTTTAGGAAAAAGGAACATTCGTCATAGCCACCTACAGATATTAAAAAGAAAAAAAAAGAACAAAAAAAAGTACAGTTCAGAATGTACGATAACAACATTTTTTGTATTTATTGTTGTATTAATTGTTGTTATTTAACTAATTAATTTACAAGCATATTTTTTCATAAGAAAATGTTGACACGTTTTTAACTTTTATTAGCCCCTGTATCGGCTAGGCAAATTAGGAGCGGTCGTCACCCCCGTTAGGGCTTTGTCCTTAGCTACCAAAAAAATTGTTCTCCTTTGAATCAAAAATTGACGGGTCCGAGGATTTTTTCGTTAATGTTTTGAGGTTCCCAAAATAGGCTCTGTTTCGTTTTCAAATGGCCACCCTGTATAATGGTTGCAATAGCCATGGTATTGCAGTAGAGGCCTATAGGAGCAGGAACAATTTGTTTATTATCTCGAGACAAACGACCGGTCTTGTGATAAGCCTAGTTACGAAGATTTTTTGGAATGCGCTACAGCACTTGGAACGAGAACTACAAATGCATGGCGTTACCAAGTTAGCATTTCTAAAGTGGACTGGCGCATTGTGCGCAATATGCTGGAAGCGGTATTCCGGGGTACCGGAGTAGAATTATTGGTTTGTTCTCCAGAGGAACCCCGCAACCGATTTGTAAGACGATGGATTGCTTTTTCTTCAAGAATGGAAGATGAAGGAGGAGGTCGTCGTGCTAGTACTGCCACAAGTTCGCGTTACGGAACCCGAGTTGTCTAAGACTGTGTCTCCGCTACAACGGTCAGCCGACGCAACAGTTTTAAGGGGGGGGGGGAAGTGTAGCGAATATTCCAGAAATCCCGATAGACGTCGAGGCGCCATGAAAGATTAGTCATCGGCGATAAAGAGCGAAGGCGAATGTGATTCAATAACATCCCGATCTTTCTAGAACAATTGTCGTTTACTATATAAGCAAATTGTAGTGCATTCCATCTCAGTTCCGGTTTTCACTGCCACGAAAAATTGTGGCTTGGAAAAAAGGGCATCAGACCCAAAATTGCATACACCATACGACATAAATTTAAGGATGGTTCACGTGTATTATTCTACGGAACTATCCAACCAAATTAACAAATAGTGATCGACCAAACACAACATTGACCTGACACCTTGGATAATGAATTAAACTTCAGTATAAGAATCATCTATTTTAGCTTACTTATCTACATTGAAATATACAATATATACAATATTTAACATAATTAAAATATAACAACATTTTAAAATTAAAATAACCTACATAAAACAATTTGTAAATACTGACTGTAGCTATAAGTATGGAAAATATAAATATTCTTGTCTTCTCTATTATTTTCCACCCCATTCACAAACTCTGCCATTGTCAAACATTAAATTGTGCCTGGGAAGAGGGGTGAGCCTGCCACGTTTTATTATGCCCATGTTTTCACCTGGATAATACTGAAAGAGGCACTTATTAAAATTGACAAGTTTAAATACTCAGATAAGTAAGTGCCATGTGCATACGAACAGGGGCCCTATTCTTGACTCTATGTATTTATCAAGATCATTCGTTTTTTGAACCAAAACGATGAATTTTAACATATTAAATAAAGAATATTCCAAGAAAAAGCTTTATGATGAAAAATAGGAAAATACGTGGTAACGGCATTAGGCACATTTTCAATATTTATGTCTGAAATGAAATTCCTGGATCCTCCTTCTCACTCCGGATTTTGCATCCATAACCTGCACAATTCACCATGATGATCCATACTCTTTCCTAATCTAAACTATGAAGCTATTTACTACTAGCAAACTCTACGTTGCCAAACATATCATTCTAATTGAAATGACAAGCGTTACAGAGGGAATAGTAAATGATACTTGTATGCGAATGTTCATACATAGTTTTAACACAAATACGAACCAATTCGAGTGACGTCAAGAATAGCGTCCATGATGTTTTTCAAAAATTAAAAAAAAACTTACCTGACATTGAGAGATAAATTCTAACAAAGATGTTCCCAGCATTCGACTAGATTCGGTTAAGTGTGTGAGACTGAAATCAATTTTTTGAGTATTACTTCATTATAATTCTCCGACTCTTGGTTCAAATGGAAAGTTTGACAATACACTACACAGAGGGCGTAGAGACATGCAACCACAGTAGTGCAAGCATACGCAAGATAATGTTCCCAAAAATGAACCTTCATATACACTTTGTTTTGTGATTTTAACCTCAAACTCACCTAGAAGAGTGACATAATCCTCCTGAGACAATGGCATCACATATTTTCGTATTGGCATCTGCATCAAATAACGGTATTCCAAAGTGGCAGTCCAACAAAGTCCACATCTATATGTAAAAAACTAACTTTAATAATCATTTCGTATAAACTAAAGACTAGTGTTCCACAAATTTCATCTACACACCTCACCATTTGCTTCTTCTTCAACCGGCTTATTTACGCTATTCTCATCAGTTGCTTTATTACTTGGTGGGTCAGAATCACCCTGCCTCGAAAACATACTAATATTTTCATCTGTTGGACTTAAAAGAGTCTCAAACGAGTAGAGGCTTTGTATACTTTGATTTAATGGTTTTTCTTTGACCTCTTGAGAAAGAATCGTATCTTTATCCAACAAATCTAATTCCTCCTTTAAGAGTTCTGTCGAATCTTGGTGCATAAATCCATTTGCAGGAGACGATCTTTCACTGCTATGAACGGGTGTAACCGCGAAATGAGACTCGACGGGTGATTGTAGTTGCTTTTCCGGGTTGTCAGTTACAATTTCATTTTGATTTATTTCGTTAGAGCGATTTGTAAAGCTAAAATTTTCGTTTGCGAACGTTGTTGGTTCTGATGCTTTTTTTACATTGCTTTTATGCAATTTTGCCACCCCTTAAAATGAATGCATTAGTATATATTTATGATAAATTGACTATTTTACCAGGATTATTAGGGTTTACTTTCTGCCGTCCTAGGCGGACGATGGGGTCCCTGTTCGGACATCCTAGATCTCTCACCCCAATATTAACGAAGGTTAGATACCCACAATTTTGTTCTAGATCCACAAGACCAGACAATCGTTGTACAGCTGGATGTTTAGCCCACGGAATTGCGTGGACACCTTCGCCTGTACAAGAAATTACATAAACGATAAATGCAATATTGTAATCCTACCATGGCACATAATGTTTGTATCTTTTTCAAACGGGAATGGTTTAATGTGAACTTGAGCAGATTGATGCACTCCGTACGCTTGCAGTAGCACTGGCGAGTACTGTAAAGCCGCATTTACATACATGATATTTGCTACAGGAAGAACGGCGGGTTCGTGTAACCAAGCCATTACCAAGAACTTTGAAAAACCCAAAAACATTCGAGGTAATTGCTTCAATTGGGTACCTACAAGAAAAGCTCTTACAATTGAACCGCAGGTAGTAAGGAACTCGCCTTTGACTAGCAGTAGTGAAGGTGGTCCATATCCAGTCATATGATAGAGAAACATTTTAAACCATATTGAATTTACTTCAGGTACAGGTGGTCCCAAATGTGGAGGAGATAGTAGTGAAACAGGTCGCACTTCTCTGCTGAGTGGTGCCATTGAAACTAATAGCCTAAAATTGGTGTTAATACAGTAGCTAACCAACAAAGACCATTAGGTACACATAATGGTTCATGTTGGTCTATACCTAATTCATATTTATGTAAAATTAACACGCGAGAAATCGCTTTATTTTGTAGAATTGTACTTTTAATCAAATTTAAGGCGATAAAATGCTGTGATACCACACATAACTAATAACATACTTAATTAGGTTGCGTAATTACTCAAATCAATCAATCAATGATAACCGAGTGTTAGTTAAAAGCAAAGAAAGTTATTGGTGAAGATTTTGCCGAGTTTTCAAACCATAAAAGTGTCGAACCTTAATCCAAACTGTACGTGTACACTTATGGATTATGCATTAGATGTCGCTGCAAAAAATTAAAGCAAATGAGTAACTCCACTGTTCAATTAAACAGACTGATATCAAATGCATATATCCATAAGGGTCATTTTACAGTTTTAAACGGTATATGTTTAAGTTTATACTGATGCTCAGTAGAGGTCGCTTTTAAATATACCTAAATGTGTTACCATTGATTATACACCTTAGACCATATAGTACATGGACTGCTAATTGTAACGAAAATATGGTCAAGGACATTGCCTGGGTATGTGAGTTTCAGGGTAAACGAGTCTGTCCAAGGTTGTCCAATTAGATACGATTTGAGACTGTCAACCTATAAATTAACAAACGTCAATTAATTAATCGCCTAGATATAGAAAAAAAGCAAACCTATTCTTATTTGTAGGTCCGTGAAGTTAGCACGGTCATTGAAAGCACTAACGACGGTACATGATCATATCGTTAGTGCTTCGTTAGTGCCTCTTAGTGCTCCATAACTTGCATCAGCACGACCGACCGTTTCCAAAAAAACGACCCCCCCTTATGTAGTGCTGACTTCCTACCCTCGTTGAAAGCACTAACGACCGGACAAGTAGCGATCGTTAGTGCTTCGTTAGTGCCTCTTAGTGCTTCATAACTTGCATCAGCACGACCGGCCGTTTCCGAGAAAACGACCCTCCCTTATGTAGTGCTGACTTCCTACCCTCGTTGAAAGCACTAACGACCGGACAAGTTCTGATCGTTAGTGCTTCGTTAGTGCCTCTTAGTGCTTCATAACGCATCAGCACGACCGGCCGTTTCCGAGAAAACGACCCCCCCTTATGTAGTGCTGACTTCCTACCCTCGTTGAAAGCACTAACGACCGGACAAGTTCTGATCGTTAGTGCTTCGTTAGTGCCTCTTAGTGCTTCATAACGCATCAGCACGACCGGCCGTTTCCGAGAAAACCGAGAAAACGACCCCCCCTTATGTAGTGCTGACTTCCTACCCTCGTTGAAAGCACTAACGACCGGACAAGTTCTGATCGTTAGTGCTTCGTTAGTGCCTCTTAGTGCTTCATAACGCATCAGCACGACCGGCCGTTTCCGAGAAAACGACCCCCCCTTATGTAGTGCTGACTTCCTACCCTCGTTGAAAGCACTAACGACCGGACAAGTTCTGATCGTTAGTGCTTCGTTAGTGCCTCTTAGTGCTTCATAACGCATCAGCACGACCGGCCGTTTCCGAGAAAACGACCCCCCCTTATGTAGTGCTGACTTCCTACCCTCGTTGAAAGCAC